TGTAGGGCGACCAGCCAGTAGATGGAGTGACGACCTGGTAAGACATGCAGGAAGTCGATGGATGCAGGTGGCTCAGGACCGTGCTTTGTGGCATTACATGGGGGAGGCTTTTGTTCAGCAGTGGACTTGTGAAGGGCTGTAATGATGGTGATGATGATGAAATAGAGAAGTTGAATGTTTTACTAACATTACTGTTATAGTCTATACTGTTATAGTTATAGTAAAGTCCATTGTTGAACATAGTCCTTCCCCATTAGATAGGGTAAGAGTTTTGAATCAAATCAAATCATTTATTTACAATCCTAGTGTACATAATTGGTCGTGCTTACAACTTAGTCGCCCTTTTCAGGCACTGCAATTTTTTACGAGGATACTGCTTATATACATGAAATATACTTAGATGCTTGATAATATAAAAATACATAATAGTATTATTTTTTGTCTGAATACTCCTCCACTGAGTAGAAGGGGTTTTATATATATATACTGAGGTTTGATTGAAATTTGGTTAATTCTATTACGTTTTTTTTATACACTGTGGTAATTTATTATAAACTTTTATTACCATATATAGTAGGGACTTGTATTTAACATTTTTGTTCGCGTCTGTGGTGGGTATAATTTATTTTTGTTACGTATATTTATGTTATGTGTATCTTTAATCTTCTTGAAAATATTTTTTTTGGACAAATAGGCATAGTTCATAAATGTATATGCAGGGTAAGGTAAAAGAATATTTAGTTTTATTTTCATTTTTATTTAATTTAACAAGTACACTTACAATACACATGTATGACAATCACGAAAACATACACATTTCTATACTCTTTGTATATCAATAACAAGTGTAAATAACATTCGCAGATTGAGTCGTGCAATTTTGGGTTAATTTGGAGTACAAATATCATCCAATCAATACAATGTAAATTAGAACTATTCAGATAAATTATGTACTTAAATAAAGAAACTTAAAAAAAGAAAAATCTAAAGATAAAAAACAGGTGTAATTATTAAAAGGGAATATGGTAGATATTATACTCTCTTCAGGAGTATGTATATATATAAGATATATTATATATAAGTTCCTGATATAAATTACATTTTCTATATAATATATCTTATATATATATAAGATATATATATATATATATATATATATATATATATATATATATAAGATATATTATATAGAAAATGTAATTTATATCAGGAACTCGACAATAAATGATTTGTAAGTTTAATTTTGAATGCAATATAAGAGTCGTTAAATATGTCAATGCCAGGTATCGTTTTAGAAAATTCGTTATATTTTCCACATGCACGATAGGAGCGTGATTTCCGAGATGAGTTTTCGCGAAAGAAAGATGAAATGTTTTTTGGATTCGACAACGGGGATATTTATGCAGAACAGCAAACGAAATGAGGTCAAGGAGGTCACTGCACTTAACTATATTGTGTAGTTTTTTGATATACGTTCTACAGCTAGTACTACAGTTATCTATCTGGGCTAGTGTTCTAACGTACTTCTTCTGGGTACGTTCGTTCGTTCTTCTTCTTCGTCTTGGTGGTATAGCGTTAGTTTTAGCGTTAGTTAAATAGTTTAGTCGTTATTAGAAAGCCGCTGTTGCCGCTCTCCTGATTTGTTTCCCTCTATCGTCTTTTACCACCTTTTACCACCCACGGGACGATATGGGGTTGTGGACGTTCTTAGACTGCCACTACGCGTTATGTTTATCCACAGGTTGTACCATAGAATACTATAATACATACATAATAGAACGGGGGAGTGGGGGAGCCCGCGTAGCCACGAAAATGCCACTAAAACGTCAATTCACACGTATAAATGCCAACACGAGATGCGTTTTGACGTTACAATCGTTTCCGAATTTCGAATGCAAATTATTTAGAAAATGCCAAATTGCACGCTATTTACATATAAATATGTATTAAAATTTAAATGATTTTTTTTAATGATGATCTTGAACATTAATCAAAAGTCTAAAATGTGTAAATTTATTCAGTCTGTCAACAAAGCGAATCGGGTTTGACGACGCCAATCCTCGTATAAAATAAAACCATCAATATATTCTAGGGTTGGACCTATATCGTTATTTAATTCATATCATACTCTGTAACAGTTAGTTAATCTGTGTTATTTAGACCCATAATAGCATATAAATAGCCGCTGTAGCTCCCATGATTGTGTTGCAACAAAAACATTCATGAAGACTCCAGTATTATACGATTAAATAACAATTAAGCCGTTTTTCCTTTGTCATCTTATTTAAACGTATGTTCTTAAGTAGCTTTGAATGATGAAATGTAGAAATAAAAAAGATTAATGTTGCAGCCATTTCAACAAAGTGATTCTGTAAGGGTTTCGATTTTTCCCTTTGTGGTAAGTTCAAACTTTCAAAGGATACAGAAAAAATAAAAAAGTGTTCATAGAAAACCGTTAAATAAGGGTGGCGCCACTATAACTATAAATAAAAACTTCAAAAAAATATATTTTTAGGTTATATTTACATTCAACTATAATAAGCTAGTATTATTTAAATCCACTTTTTCAACTATTCTACTATGGGAGTTTACTCCTTACTTCTACACTCCATAGTTTCATAATTCGTTGATGACAAGCGGGCGTAATGTTGCCAGGTGTTCCGATTTACCCTGATCGGGACTCCAAATGTACTGATTTTTCACTAAACTCCTCAGTCTGTACTGTGATCGATAATTTTGAAAGCAAAAATGAATACATCTGTAAGCTGCTACTACATTAAAATATTTCTTTTTTGAAAAATTCATATTTTATTATCAAATTCAGACCGTACGAAAACAAATCTTCCAAAAAATTTTAATTCGCCGAAAAAAAAAGACAGACAGAACCCGCTGGTTAGTGGGGAGACAAGCAACGACGCCCACATGGGTCACTTCATTCGCCATATGAACACCGCCACTCGTCCACTCACAAAATCCACCTACCTAACCTACAATGAGCAGTGTAATTTTCCACAGTAAACTATATAATATAATAATAACAGCCATTTAATTCCCAATTTTCATACAGCAGTCGATATTATTATAGTTAAATCAATTACAATATTATTATGAGTCATATTTTTTTTTTTAGTAAATGACATGTCAATGTCAAGTTGAAATTAAATTTACAAAATTAATTTTTGATTATTTATGAATAATGTTTGGGTAAATAACCAATTTATATTTAAGTAATTGTCAACTTATTTTGATTTTTGTCACAAAATTTATAATTAAAAATAATAAAAATTAAGTTAATAATAATAACGAACCGAATTTGGCTATACACATAAAACAGTGTCATAATATATTAATTTTAATTAATTATGGGATATCCATTTCCGGTTGAAGGCCTCCTCCATACTTTTCTATGAAGTTCTGTCTGCTGCTAGCCTCGTCCACGTTGCTCCTGCTACCTCTACAATGTCGCACGTCGCACCAGCGTGCCCGCGGTCGGCCGCGCGATCGCGTCGCATCACGTGGGTACCAATGAAGCACCTGTTCAGTTCACCTCTCATTTGACATCTTAACACAGCGGATAGTCGATGACCACGGTAACTCAAGTTCTTAAGGCGTCTACGCGAATAAAATAACTTGAGGCCTATATTAACACCGAAGCACTTGTTCCGTCTTTTCCACTAATAGTTCACATACGCAAACACTTAATACATAAAATCACATCACTTTTACGTTATCAACATCCAGTTCAAACCATTATTTAAAATTACCCAAATTTAAACGATAAAACAGGAGCAATCCGGCGACGGTTAATTTCCCGCCAAAATCCCCCCGCCAAATAGCAGTCCTTCGAAGTCATAGATAATAAAATCGAAAAGAAATAAATTAAATCTTTATCTGTGCGATTAAAAGTTAAAACACAGTCTGGCAATTTAAATTTTATTGATTTGGAATGAAATTACAATAATAAAATAAAATAACGAATTTTACGAGTATGTTACTAAGAGGTTTGTAACTGGTTATTCAAATAAAAAAGTTATAAGCACTAATAATACCTGTGATTTTTCCCTGATGTTTGTGTTTAATGACAGTTACAGCTTATATATACGCTTATATAGCAGCTTATATACGTCCTAATGCTGGGTACATTCCTCGTTTCCTTCCTAAAAATTCTCTCATTTCTGAGAGGGATTTTAGGACAAGGAAATGTTCGCCCCGCTGCCTCAATGCGTGTGGTAGAAATTCATATATCTTTTTTTTTCTTTCTCATGCATGCAGGTTTTCTCGCGATGTTTTCACGTAGTAAATCAGTACTTAAAATTGCAATTAACAATTTCTATGGCCGGCAGAGATCGAACCCGGGCTTCTGGCGTACTGTGTAATTTACAGCTAGCGTTTAGCCCCTGAGCTACCAGGGCTCGTTATGTTTGTGTAAAGACATCATAAATTAATGTCAAGCCGTGTCTTTGATTAAATTGCTAATTTTTTTTATAGGATAAGGGTGACAAACGAGCACACAGTCTACCTGATGGTAAGTGGATGCTGTGGCCCGTAGAAATCTACATCTATCTTCGATTACGAGTCGAAATCACCCCTGTGGACTAAAATGGAATGCCTTGTTTCCAGTAAAAAGGGTCTCCGGTTCTCTACACTCACCATACGTAACACAGCAGTATTGAGCTGCTATTTTACGCTGGTATTCTGTGAGAGCGTGGTCCTTCCCCGATCGAGTCGACCCATTCGTGCTACAACTATACTAGTAATATAACTGCAGCATGGCTCTACCACGTATATTTTTTTTTCAAATTGAAATTATCACAACTTCACTGGTGAACGTGGAGACCTCTCAAGAAATCTCACAATATATTTACTCAAAATTTCTCCGTTAAAAATAATGTCTGCCCTAGTCAAGTTTTGAGAAAATTTACCCTAATAAACAAGTAAATAGATTAGGTGAGATCGGGTCCCCCTGTCTCACACCTATCTCGATTTTAAATGGCTGTACTTTAAATTTCTTTCGGTATTCTTATATATTGGTTATGTATTCCATGAGATTTCGACGCCAACCATAGTAAATCATGGTAAATAGAGTCGGAAGCTTTTGAATAATCAATAAATGCGATGTAAAGAGTTTTGTTATATTCTTCATATGTTTCCATTATCTGAGTCAAAACAAAGATGTAATCAATTGTAGAGAATTTGAAACGAAAAGCAGCATGTTCTCTCGGCTGCATGTAGTCTAATTTGGGTTTGAGTCTGTTAAGTAATATGCTTGTGAAAACTTTATAACTTGTTTGCAATAGGGATATAGGTCTATAGTTGTTGATATTTAATTGATCACCTATCTTGTACAAGAATATGATAGTAGAGTTCGCCCAATCTTCTGGTATTTGACTGAGGTCGAGTATTCCGTTGAAAATATTTGTTAACATCGGTGTGATGGGTTCCATTATCACTTTCAGAACATCATTTGATATCTATTACTATCTTCTCCTGAACTTTTTGCACTTTTATGAATTTTTATGGCATGACTTATCTCGCACGGTACTAGTGGCGGAATACGATCGTTTATGTCCTCAATACAACTATTTTATTTTTTATTTTATTTTATTTTATTCTTATTGGAAAACTTACAGCTAACATTAACAGTAAATAAGTGAATAACAACTAGAAGGCCATTTAAAAGTTTTCACCACTAGACAATATGAGCTTAAAAACAATAATTCCAGTCGGTAAAAGATAAACATCGATTAAGACAAATACAGTAAATTAACTAAATTACACAGAAAACATTCAACAAAAGAATTTTTTTCGCTAAAATATTTTTGATTCGAGAAACACTGGTACTAAACAGATCCAAGTCAACGCTATTGGAAATGTCATTAAGAGTTCTATTATTACTTAATTCATCCGTTATGTTATTGTTGATGTTGTGAGTTTTGTATAAGTTTTTATAATAAAAGTAAACTATAAAGCGAGTCTATAATTCAAACAACGAGAAGACAGGTGAAAAAAAGAACAAATAAAGTATCGACCGACCATAACCACGATGCACACCTGTACCGGAGAGGTATAAAATGATGGGGATCGATAGAAAGAACATTAAGTATATATGCGGTATACCACATTAAAACAAGTATCAATGTAGAAGAAGAATTTATAATCAGCAACAATGAACGACAACGAGTATATCAACGACAGTCAATACATTCACTTCAGGAGGATATATTACCGGAGAAAAAGAATAGGGAACAGTACAACCAGAAGCATGACCTAGCATAAGAAAAAACAAATAAGAAGGAAATTGATGATGGATTCAACAGCGACACTGCACGAATCTCCCAAAATAATGAAACAAGCTAATGAAATGAGCTACATTCACATCAAATTTTCGCTCCAAAACCAAGTAAAACAAATGCAGGTGCACGTGCACCTCTAAATCGTATAATGGAATTATACAACAACAAATTTAATGACATAGATATCTTTGGATTAACTTCTTCTAGATATAAAAAAGCTGTGTATGAGGTTCTATCTGAATTTGATGCAAGTTAATGTAATTGCTTAATTAGGTTAAATTTAATTTTTCACATCTGTGTATTATCTATATATGTGTATGTGCGTGTATGAATATGTTTGTATATATGTGTGTATGTATATGCGTGTACATGTACATGCATATGTGTAAATTAGCTTGTTTTTCTCTCTACCTATTTATTGGTGAACGGGTCGTTTTTAATAGAACATTATATTTTAATTTTAATTGTTACGCACATAGACCTAGTGGTAATATGTGGATAACGGTGTTGATTGTATGATTATTAAGCTTAAATATAGTATTGTGTTTAATAATAAGATTATATTGTACAATTGTTTGTTATTCCTAATAAAGAAAAAAAAGAAACAAGTGACAGCCAGCCAGCAACGTGACCGATCACAATAGTAGGTAACTCAATGGGAACGAGAAAATATAACACAAACCGAAATAAACTCAGCCCTTGGAAAGTTATCGCTGACCATAAAGGAACAAAACGACTCCATCATCATATTATTTACAACAGCTTTGCAAAAAACTGAGGGTTTAATTACAAGCTTGGTAAGATTATCCGAGCAAAAGAAATCAAATGTTATGCAACTGCATGCATTCAGTGCCTTTTGGAGTGCATTACTACCGGCCCTAGACATCAAAACCTCGATTTTACAAAATGTACAACTCATCAACTTGGACTTAAACAAGAATCATCACACTGTCAATCACCCTGACAGTGCCCAAAGAAGAAGTATTGTATTTTCTATACAAAACACAACGCGAAATCTCAATGACGGACGAATGGATCAAAGCGTTACAAGAGTCAGTGAAGACTGAAGACTTATTATTCCGTCCAAATGTGAATTACATAATATCGACCAAGAGGAATACGATGAATTTAAATATGAACCACATACCCGTCAAAATCGATCCAAACTCCGTGTAGTGGCCCTACACGGTTTAGTCATACTACTTATTGTTTTATAAAATTAAGAACATGTAACAAAAATATAGTCTCTAAAATACAATAATTGATATTAAAGTTGGTAACCCTGTTGACAGAGCATAATATATTCAGAATAGGGGCTTAGAAATATTTCAACGGAAGACATTGAAGTAATACTAGTACATTATTCTTCAATGTCGGCAGATTATATTTGATTTGCAAATCTATTTTTTTAGAAACGTGGTGACAATGCGTCAGTGGCACTGGCGCCAAATAACTTAATTTTTTATTTATTAAGATTTTTGTCTTCGATGTTTGTCCTTTAAGTCATGCATTCATTTTATTCGAGATCTACATTTTTAACATTTAGAAGTTTTTGGGAGATTTTTAATGACATCTTACTACTACAGGGGACAGTCGATGACGATGGTAACTCAAGTTCCCAAGGCGTTTACGCGAATAAAATAACTTGAGGCCTATATTTACACCGAAGCACTTTTTTCGCGTTTCGTTTCCACTATTAATAGTTCTCATGCGCAAACACTTAATACACAAAATCGCATCACTTTAACGTATCAAAATCCACTTCAAACCATTATTTAAATGATAAAACAGGAGCAATCCGGCGACGGTTAAGTTCCCGCCAGAATCCCCGCGCCAAATAGCAGCCAAATAGACCAAAAAAACTACAAGAAAAATACAGTCGAATTGAGAACCTCCTCCTTTATTAGAAGTCGGTTGAAAATAGGATCAAAATTAGTAAAGATATACCGTAACATCTTAAAGTTTACATGAGTATAGTTTGCTTATAGATACATGCGATAAAAAAACATGTAGTAGAATTGCAAACCTACTACACCTTTTTTGAAGTCGGGTGTATTTTATGGCACAACAAAAACCGTTCGTACTGTGGAAAACCGCCTCGTATTGTGAGACTGGTTCACTGACCAAAGTATGGGTCCAATTTTTGGGTCATCAGGGACATATAAAAATAAATTAAAAGAAAATACCCTACTTTTTTTTAAAAGGTAGGTAACGCATCTACAATTTCCCTGATATTGTAGTTGTTCATGAGCGGTGATAGTCATTTACCATCAGGTAAGCCCTTGACCGTCTGTCCCTTCTCATGTATAAAAACTTCTCTGTAAGAACGTCCTACTTCAGTTCCCCAGGTTTCTTCACCAAACAAAAATACTAAAACTTTATTAAATTTTTTTTAAATTTAAAATACAAAATAATTAAAAAAACAATATTATCACAATGGCGAATATACACAAATATACTTTCCGGAAAATAAATCAATATTTATGGATGTCTTCCGTTAAAATAATAGTTAAAAAGCAGTTTTCGATTTATTGAATATAATTGTTTATTAAGCCTACCACTAAAAGTTTAAAATAAATTATTATTACGTTAGTTTATAAACCGCGATATAAAACATATCCAAAAAAAATTCTCCAAATCTATATGATCTTGGGGCAAGTCGTTGCTATTATCTAGAAAACTAGATAGAAATGTATGCATATGTAGTAGAACCATGGCCGACCGGGACCGACCGGGGAAGGACCGCGCTCTCAAGAATACCAGGGTAAAACCCTTTTTACTGGAAATGAGGCATTCCATCTTAGTCTTCACGGGTGATAACGCGTCTGCATTTTGATTCGTATTCGACGATAGATGTTGATGTCTATGGGACACAGCATCCACTTACCATCAGGTGGACTGTGTGCTCGTTTGTCACCCTATCCTATAAAAAAATTAAGCAATTTAATCGAAGATGTTACACGGCTTGACGTTAATTTATCGTGTCTTTACACTGACATAACAAGCCCTGGTAGCTCAGGGGCTAAACGCTCGCTGTAAATTACACAGTACGCCAGCAGCCCGGGTTCGATCTCTGCCGGCCATAGAAATTGTTAATTGAATTATTAAGTGCTGATTTACCACGTGAAAACATCGTGAGGAAACCTACATGCCTGAGAAATAACAAAAAAAAATTTCGAAGATATGTGAAGTTCTCCAACACGTATTGGGGCAGCGCGGCGGACACTTCCTTGCCCTAAAACCCTCTCAGAAATGAGGGGACGCCTGTGCCCAGCAGTGGGACGTATATAGGCTGTAACTTTACTTTACTTTTTTACTTTTATGGACTCGTACGATTTTACTTTTGCCAGTGTCCAGTAATAAGAAATTATCGTTTATATTATTATTCTTTATATAACTTTACAATTTGCTAATGTGTAACACTGTAAAGTTCTTAGGATATTACGACTTAACACACGACAGTTGATTACGACAGTATTGCGTCGTACTACGAGTGTTATTTATTCTGTGACAATAACTCAAGTGTATAAGGTGCCTAAGCGGACAAAATAATTAAGGTTTATATCAACATCGGAGCACCCGCTTCGTCGCCTCCTCTAACTGTTTACCAGCAGGGACACCAAATACAGAAAATCGCATCACTTTTACGTATCAAAATCCATTTTAAACCATTATTTAAACCAGGGATTCCCAAACTATTTTGGGCATGAGACCCCTTTTCCAAAATGAACTAATATCATCTAATAATTGGAACCCCCTAACCAAATTACTTTAAAAATTCCTTTAATATCTCTAGTTTCCAATTTAAAAACTTTGCGTTTGGTTATGTGAGTAAACTTGACGTCATTTTCTCATCAAAATTTAACAAAATAAATAGACATAAAATTCAGTAAATATCATGTGTAATTTATAATTATAAATACAAATTACAATTACAAATTATCAGTTTTTGTTTATGTCGACTCCTGGGAAACCAGTTTTGACCCCAAGGGGTCGATAACGACTACTTTGGGAATCTCTGATTTAAACAATAAAACAGGAAAACAATCCGACAGCTATTAAGTTCCCGCTAAAACTCCATATTTATATTTATTGCCTAATTTTTACTCATGTCGCAATTGACTATCAATACAAATTTTATTTTTATTTGT